GTTTTCACAGGTACACGATGTGGTCAAAGGTTATCAACTAAGAAGTGTCATCTGCATTTCGTGACCTTTTGACCTCATGACATAACTGTGTTTATAATATCTACCAAACTTGATCGGTTATCTATCCTAGCCGTACCTACTCGTCAAGCTCGTACCTACTCGTCAAGGCCGTACCTACTCGTCAAGGTCGTACCCAATCGTCAAGGCCGTACCTCCTCGTCAAGGTCGAACCTACTCGTCAAGGTCGCACCTACTCGTCAAGGTCGTACTTACTCATCAAGGTCGTACCCAATCGTCAAGGTCGTACCCAATCGTCAAGGTCGTACCTACTCATTAAGGTCGTACCTACTCATTAAGGTCGTACCTACTCGTCAAGGTCGTACCTACTCGTCAAGGTCATCAAGGTCGAACTTACACACCAATGTCGTAACTGCACATGATTATGTTGATCTGATCAAATTTTCTCCCTTTTAAACAATAAATATCTGAATATGTATTTCAGTGGGGTGTGACGCTACTAGAAGATAATTTTTCTGAAGATCAGTATTATTATTTAATAACAGTATATACTGGGTTTGTTAGAGAAGGTTCCACTCACTCTAGAGTCAGCTTTGATCTGTACGGTGAAAACAATAACACTGATGTTCGAAAACTCTCTGATGGCGTTAGACAGGTAAGAAGACCTATTGTCACATTATTATTATTTTCTATGGCAAGGAATTGCTATCTATTTAAACTTACTATTAGAGTTGTTCTCATGATGTTGTGTTTGTGCACTAAAAGTTACCACATTCGCAACATTTTCTCTGTGTTAAATGTTTATTATAGTCTGAACTGATACGAGTAAAGGAACTGTATAAGGTTGCAAGCTATAGTCTTTCCATGTGTATGATATTTAATCTGTTTTCAGGGTTTCCAAGCAGGAAGTGTTATGCATTTTCTGATGGCAGTTCCAGAACACCTTGGTAATCTCCAGTATCTGAGAATATGGCACGATAATTCTGGTAAAGGAAAGTACGCTTCATGGAATCTCAACAGAATAGAAGTGGTCGACATACAGCTGAATGAAAGGTGGGTCTTTTTTTACATCAAGAACTTGGATGTTGATTTGGAATTAGAAATAACTTCAAACAAGAATAAATTCAGGTGTTGACAAGTCTATATAATACAATATAGTATGTCAGGTATTTAAAGGGGTCGTAAATCCTGGAGCTGATACCACTGTTCGATTGGTTATGTCATCTTGTCCGTGTCGGAGAGTACTTAACATGCAGTGGCTCAACTAGATGAGTAGGAAATGAATGGAGTTTTACGTTCTACTTTTCTGCACTATGTGTAACTAGATGAGTGGAGCCCGTGGACTTAAATGGGATGGGGCCCCTTCTAAAGGATTTTTTTTTTTACATATTTCTGCATTTTTTCTAGGGGTACGGGCCCCATTTCTAAGTGTACTTGATTCAACCAGTCCTTATGATGGTTGAACCACTGTAAATATATTCATTTGGTATATTAGTAGTGAACTCGACATCCTTCAAAGACGCATACGAAAATAATACTCTTTGTTAATATCCTGTTTCAATTATTCTTTCAGTTTTGTCTTTATGACGAACAGTTGGTTATCTATAGAAGAGAGTACGATAGATAAGGTTATTCCAGTCTGTGGACAGGAAAATCTGAAAAACTTCAGAAGCATTTTCCTGGAGCATGCCCGAAATCACGTGACTGACGAACATGTCTGGTTGTCCGTCTTCTTCAGACCTATTAAAAGTCATTTTACTCGTGTTCAGCGAGTTGGGTGCTGCGTTGCCCTTCTATTTCTGTCAATGATTTCTAACGCCATGTTTTTCCAAGTCGGCACGGACAAAGACCGACAGAGAGCGGCCGCTATAGAATTAGGACCCATCAAATTCAACCCAAGTCAAATTTTCATCTCTGCAATAAGTGCCATTATCACTGCAGTTCCTGTTACCATAATTATGATAATGTTCCGTAAATCCAAGCTGAAAGCAAGAGTAAGGAAACAAAGAAACATACCGAATTGGTTACCCAAGAAGATCAAAGCTCGACTAGAGTTCAGTCAGAAATTAGAAGATATACTAGTAATTCCAGATAACGTGGCTTTGAAAGACGCCATATTGCCTCACTGGTGTACTTATATAGGGTGGATATTAGTCTTCTTATCGACGGCGGCCTCTGGAGTCTTTCTAATGCTCTTCAGTATGGAATGGGGTAAGGACATCTCTGAGGAATGGCTGACTACCTTTTTCTTGTGTTTTGTGGAATCGGTGACCTGTGTAGATCCCTTTAAGGTAACTTGAAAATTTATCATTAGTCGTGTTTAGACAGCCACAAATTATCTATCCCCCTAAGAAAATTTTGGCCACTCCCTGAAAAATTTAGATGACTTGTTGAGTCACTTTAGTCGAACCCCCTTAAAAAATATTGCCACCACGGAGACCCAGGACTATCCATAGACCTGCATCTTCAATATATGTATATGTAATCTTACAAGTTACTTACATTTTCCCGCTAAAGGAACCATGGTTTTGTAAAACTCAGAATTTCGAAAATAGTCTTAAATAAGTGAAAAATTTACGTAAAAGCAATCTTAGTTATTAATGCAAAAAAGAGGTTTGGAATCATTCTCAATTTCCACTTTCAAAAGAAGTTAATGATTATATTTGTAGGTATTATTCCTAGCTGTTATAGCAGGACTGCTATTTAGAACATTACGGATATCAAAACCAACAGTGTACGATATGGAAGAGATCAAACATTTCTCGTCTAAACATGGAAAAGAAACTTCAGGTAATATTAGGTAGTTTGAAATTTATATCTCTGATTGGCAGTGGCGTTTCAAAGGAGGGGCGTGAAATGATGCATTCGGCAATCTTCGGCAGTTTCGGTAAGGCTGAATCTAGCAGATCTTTCACGGTAGATCGTTTGGAAGTGAAACTGGCCCTGCTATATCATACCCCTTGTTAATTCTGTGGCCCCTACCCGACCCTATACCTTATGATTCATAGCAATTGCATCGCAACTGCTTATCGGATTTTGCAGTGATATATGTCAGGGCTCAATTCAAAATTCTGTGGAGGCGTCCCATGAGAGGATTCTAACAATAAAATTTTCGATAAATTGAATTGAATTGGTGCATTTCTGACGCATATTTTAGGGACAAAAGTGTAACAATCGTATTGTTACCTTTGTTAAAAATAAAGTGGGGTTACAATTGGGTGTGCAGACCATAATTCGATCAGGCAAATGACCCCCCCCCCCCCCCTCTATACTGTACTGGCGCCGCAAGTCTGCAATCATTTTTAAGGCTAGACACCCAGTTGCTGCATATCTTCAGTCTTATACTTTACTTTTGTTTACATTCATAAATGTCGATTCGCCTTAAGTTTGAAAAATAATTTCCATTTTTTCTTTTGATTCAGAGCGTCGACAAATATCAATCCATCTACCAGTACAAGACGCTGATTTCCAGTACACTAAAGCCAGGAAGCTGAGAGACTCAGAGTTGAAGAATACCATTAAAGAGATGGTGATTAATCTGTTGGTGCTGGTGATACTGATTTTCATATTGTATAGTAACAGAGACACTCAGAGTTATAATCTACATCGATACGTGGCTCAAAACTTCCTCGAACCACCAAAACCATTCAGGAAATATGAAAAGGTACGTTATTCGTTAGTTTCCTAACCAAATCTGAAATCTACATTCCTAACCAAATCCGAAACCGGGATCGTACAGAGATTTCTCCTATCGTTGTCCATGTAAATGTTTCCAATTAATCTTTCATGTTCTCCGTAATTGTTGGTTTCCCACTTGCCACATCCAACTTTAATAAATATTGTTTAAAAGATAGTGGTCATTTATTGGTTTGATTTTACCTTTTCTGGACATGGAAAGCTGTACAATATTGTAAAGTTTTACATTGCTGGGGTCGCGTAGGAGAGTCAACGAGTGCAAAGTGGTGAGCAAAGCGCAAACAAGATCATTGACTGCATTATCCTCATTTGTAACTTTTTATCTTTTCAGCAACACTACAACACCTGTCCTCACCATCTTTTCTTGTTTTCAGGTGATCCAAACTGAGCATTATTTTGAATGGTTAGACAAGACAGTGATAGAATCTCTGTTTCCCGAGAATGATTATACTGGGACGAGGATGACAGCCAGTCAAAGACTCTTTACGTTTGATAGCAGCAATCTGAGAGTTGGTCCACCGAGATTGAGACAAGTCCGAGCCGTTAGTGGTAAGTTACCCTGGATTAACTCGTAGGATCACACAGAGCATTGACCCTCACATCTTCACAATTCCTAAGTAGCTTTTTACAACTGTCTCATACATTGACATTAAGAAATTTGTAAATGTAGCGGTTTAATTGGATTGTACGCTATTGAATACAGCCAACCAGAGCTCTCGACAGAAAGTCTTAATTGTATAACAACGTTGCTGTGCGTGTATTTACTAGTCGGGGCTCAGATTAACTGTATTCAATTAAATTCAAATCACAGTACACACATCAGAATTAGATTGCCCCTCACCCACCCCCAACCGAAAAAATATATGACAACCGACTAATTTCATTACTGCAACTAAACAACATTACACCCTGGTCCCTCCAGATATATTACTTGCCCCTCCCAACATTGAATTGAGAGAAGCGTTACAGTTGAGAGGATCAAGGGGTTAGGTCGACCAAATTAGTTGGTCAGAATGCGTCCGTTTTGTCCAAAAGTCAAGAGTTAGGTACGGAATATTAAGGTACTTTTTTTAATTGGTCCATTTTGACCCTACCTCTAAAGAGAAGAGTTTACATACTGTGTACCATCTGAATAATGTCTTCGTTGATTTTATCTTTCAGAAAACTTTACATACCCGTTTATTGGAAAATCTGTTAAAATACCAGAATATGAGTTGTTAAATGAGGACACAGGCCATTATTGCCCGTATTGGACCAGTCAGCCGTGTAGTGACTCTGATGAACTGATGTTGACCATTGAAGCTTGGAAGTTCACCTCAGCTGCCGACATTTGGGGGTTGCCTATAGCTGGTTTAATTGATACCTACGGTGGAGGGGGGTACATCGCAAACCTGGACGTGAATAAAATAGTATCCACTGAATCTCTGAAGGAACTCTTTCATCAAAAATGGATCGATCGGCACACAAGGGCCGTGTTTTTCGAGTTTACTCTTTATAATGTCGATATTAACTTGTTCGTGTACGTCAGTATTGTGACAGAGTTCCCTGCAACTGGTGGAATCATAACGTATTATAACATCTATCCGTTCCGACCTACGCAGCACGTTGGTAATGCAGGAGTGTTCATCATTGCGTGTGAAGTTTGTTTTGTACTGTATATTATTATCAGTTTAGTTTTGATGGTGATCAAGTTAACCAAGCAGAAGTTGCATTATTTTAAGGGATTTTGGAATGTAGTCGAGTTGACCAGTATTAGTGTGTCACTAGGGGGAATAATCCTGTTTGTGATCAGAGATTCAGAAGCTTCTGGTGCCCTGGCTCTTTTTAAAGAAAACGAACGAGCTTTTGTTAATTTTTATCATATAGTGATATGGGATTATGCTTTCGTATACGTATTGGGCGTGGTTGTAACCATAGCTACATTGAGGTTATTGAAAGCCATGGCATATACCAGCATCACACAGAGTGTCTTCAACGTTTTGAGCGACAGCATGAAAGTCTTTCCCGGATTCGCTGCCTTTATTGTAATTAATCTGATCGGTTGCTCTGTAATTGGGTACATTCTGTTTGGTCGCACCAGCAAGTTTTACTTCTCCTTTGTCGCTGCCATCGAGACGATGTTTGTTGGTTTGTTGGGAGATGCCACCTTTAAAAATACGAATGCCGAAGTGAGCATGGGCGTTGTGGAGATCATATTTTTCTCTGTCTTTGTCATCACCGTGACGATCCTGCTGACCAACATGTTTATGGCTATTTTAATGGATGTGATGACCAGAGCTCAAGAAGCGCCGAAACACAAGGAGCTGGAGATGAATGTCTTTGTGTATATGTGGGAATCTATTACTGAAATTATTACTGGGAAACCATCAGGTAACCAATTACATCTTTGTAACACCCATAAGTTCCCTCCTAACTCTTTTTTTAGAAGAATGATCCGTTTATATACGTATACGTCATAGTTATCGATCGATATGTTATTAGCATTATATTGTTGATTCTTAGAGAGTAGTAGTTTTTCAATTATATTCGCAAGGCAACCATTATCATTTCTAGAGAGATATTCTCGAGAACTTAATTTGATATGATATTAATTTGTTAATCATCTGATTGACCAATCACTAAAATAAAACAATAAGTTTGTTTCATCATCAAATCAGATTACTGAGTTTCTTAAAATCTGGATTTTATTTTTCTAAACTTTTGAAAATGAGACCCCTAACAGTTGAGATTCTGCCCATATATAGATAGAAATAGTAAAAGAAATTCTTAGTTTGAAAATATTTTAATATTTTAATATTTTGAAGGAATTATGTGACTTTCGTATATTTCTAGTACTTCTGAAGACTATTTACATATATTTAAGACGAAAATCAATCCCCTCCCCCCCCCCCCCCCCCAATTATTGCAAACAAGCTTAATAGTTGTCGTATATTAAACACCTGTATATTTGATATAATTACAGACTATAGTTACCAGAAGAAAGATGTGCTGTACGACCCGTTCCAGGGACAACCCCAATACGAGGATACAGCCAAACCATCAACATTAGCCACCCCTAGCTTCGACCACCTGGTTAAATTTCAAGATAAACTCGATAAGGCAAATAATTTGACAATTTATCATAAACTAACATCACTAAATTATTTAAACGTGCCTCAAAAATCCTCTGATATGTGATTTATGGTTCTCTGTGTAAATATTTGCTAAACAGGTTCTTTTACATTTTATTTTCTAGATTTTAATTTTTTATCGGAATTTATCGCCAACATCTTTGATCAATTGTCCAATATGAGATTTTGTTTTTTTTAAATTTGGCTTAACACAGCGCTTTTTATAATCTTTTTAAGGTTACTAAGCAATTATCTAAGGTATAATTTTTGTTTTATTTTGTGGCTATTTGCTTTATTCTGTTTTTACCGTATTCATCACAAAACCTTCATAATATTATTTACAAGACATCCAAGTTGTAGGTCTATTGTGTACATGTGGACCAGCTGGTGTCTTTATGATTATATATGTTTGTTGTATAGTCTTATTAAAACCGAACCAAACTTTCGTTCTATTTTTTATTAACTTTTTTTCGTCTATTTAGTAATTTCAGTTAGAGTCTTACGACGGCCCTCTTGAACATTCATCAGTTTGGTGATACTGCCAGCCAATATAAATTCCTGAACTCTCCAACGTTGGGATTTTGTGACGCGAGCAAAAGGTCCATTGAGTATCTAATGCTTCTCGGAATTCACCTCTTGTTCGAGGCACAAATACTAGGGTTGATTGGCTGGCGGTATAATCAAACTGACGAATGTTAGACCCTAATTGAAGTGGCAAAATTAAAAAGTTGATAAAAAACAGAACGCATGTTTGGTGTATTTTTGTTTATTGTGGTAGTGTTTATCTCAATTTAAATATTCAACAGTTGAGAGTCCTCTCTACCATCTTGTCAAGCTATTACAAACTTTGTACTTATACCTTGACTGCCATAGCCACCTTTCTAAAAAAAATGGATTCGTCGTGTTTATTTTTGGAATCGGCCCGGATGTGTATTAATTTCTTTGATTGTTGTGCAATAATTTACAATAGTCCGAAACTCCGTCCTTTTTCTTGATTGTTTGTTATGTTTGCGGTTATCGGGTAGACTGCGTTTCTAGTATTTCTGTCATGTTAGTGTCATGTTAATAGATGACTGAAGAGAAGACAGAATGTTTCATGAAAACAATTTTATTCAAATAGACAACTGAACGCGGTGGTTGATCGTGTCTATATATATTGTTAACAAGTTTTGTTGTATATTATATTGTTATTCTGTGATAACTAGCCTGTGATTGTTTGTAATATTTCTATAGATAACTATTTGCCTGTCAGCAATAAATCATTCTATAACTGTTACTATTTCTTATTTTTAAATTTTTGGCTTTTTTCTGTTTAAGCTGGTAATAATATAATTATCTATACAAGAATGTTGAATAGAATAGCAGCAGGTGCTCCAGAAGTGTAGGCATGACCTCTTTCATTAGCTAGACAGTGGAGTTTCTATGACCCTAAAGTTAGGGATGGGCTGAGTTGTGGTCAATTAATTGTCAAGAGGAGGGAGGTGATGCGTGGGAGAACCATCAGCCAATAATAAAGGTTTCAGCTTTGATTGAGCTAAGAAAACTGAATGAGAAAGAGGTTAATTAAGAGACAGTTTGGTTCCATGTTTAATGTTCCTTCTTGATAATTGTATGGGAGAATTAACATCATCTCGTAAAGTCAGGTTTTGTCTGGTTTGTACCAAAGACGAAAATATGGTGTCCAACCAACTTGTAGATCGAGTTGCTTTAGCAGTGAGCCATCGGCGATCATAATATGGTATAGTTAAATGATTGTCTGGCCTCTATTCAAGAAGTTACCATCTGTTGTTGTAAGCAAAGAGACGAGACAATAAATTTCATATTTTATTAAAGAAAATCCATACTAAACTACTGGATAAGTTAATATTTTTACAACTATATACAAATAAATATAGTCCGAAACACTGAGCTAAGGCAAGACTCTGAATCACGTGATAGAATCCGGTTAATTTGCATCCGGTTGGCCAAGTATACACTGGAAGCGTCTAATCTAAGAGAGCTAGTTTCGGACTATTATTAAATAAAGGAATGATTTCAAATGAATAAATTATGCCATAACGCCATCATCTCAACTTCTTAACGTGGTTTCTCTACGTCACTTCCGTTTCTTCTTTTCATCAAATTCTAAATACTGTAAAGAAAGGGAAAGAGAACTGATTAATCGAATCGCAAACTGCTCTGATAATAGAAAGTGGCTAATAATGTCAAGGTATTAGACACAGTAATAGCTACCTATTGTAAAGAGAACACGTGGTAAATACTGAAAAGCCACCGACAGATTATTGGCGACGAGCCATAATACTGTCACGTGATCATGTTGAAAGTAATCAATAACAATCAATTGTCAGAAATATGCAAAAAACTTGAAGGAAATATAACGAGATATATCATGATTTAATTGATGTTTATTTCGATGTTTTTAAAGTAATTTTTGTGGGTTGGGCCTTATACTAGACTGGAGCGACGATAAAACTAATACCACTTTTCAAGGCTTTAGACTGAAAGGAAGTCCAACAGAAATGTAGGATGTACAGTTACTTGAAAACTTTTTTAAAACCCTTATTAAACACTCGCTATTGATAATACTCATCTTCGAAAAGAAAAACTGCAAATTATTACTTACCGAAATTTACATGCTTGAGTCGGCCATTTTGTTTGCTACGAACGTAATACCCTTGGCACCATTCGATTCACCATTTAAATCATATCTGACTTCCCGCTCATTCTTCTCTTCAGTCGTGTTAGTGGCATCTTTGAATTTGTCGAGTTCTTCAGCACTGTGCCTGATATTCTGGCAATACACTACATCATGGAACCCGGTAAAATCTACATGCCAGCGACCATTTCCCAAATCATATTCTTCTATTCGTTCAAATCGATGTCCCCAGAGAATTTCATAAGGTGTATATGATGTTCTGGCCTCGCAAACCTCGCCGGTAGCTTCCACAGTACCAACTAAAAATACAATCAGCTCGTACTTCTCGTGACTCAGGTCTGATGGTCGGATTCCCCAGAATGGACTGTCTTCTGTGATCTTGTGGGTCAAGGTCATTGGCCAGAGGAGGAAGACACGATCCCCCATTCCATTAGCTTCAAATTCCACTGCTCTCTGATACAAAGGGTAGGTAACTCCTTCCTGCGTCACGTGTTTTCTGACCAACATACCTTGTACTGAGGCTTCGATAAGATGAGATTTGCGCATGTCACCAACTCGGATCTGGAGACAAAGGTTACCATCTTCCTGGCAGACGACAGCTTTCTTGCTTAGCAACATGGTTTTGGCGCGATTCTTTGGTCTGGCAATTTTCACGAAGATGAATCCAAGGAGGAAGGATTCGAGAAAGAATCCTATGGTAACTTGTAGATAAATTAAAGGCAAGGTGCCCGCACAGTGAGCGTTAGGGTAAGCATAACCGTACCCAATAGTTGTCTGAGTTTCAATAGAGAACAGTAACGAACCAGCGAACGATTTAACTCCTAGCAGACACGGAACATGGTGTGGATTGTCTAAATTGTCGAAGTCCCCATTATTATGAGCCATTGCCCACCATAAAACACCGAAAAACAGATAGGTGACAAGAAACACATTGAAGAGAATGGCAAGAGCATATCGCCATGGAATGTCTATAAGGGTAATGTAAATATCAGCCAGATATTTTCTTTTATGTTCACCAAGTCCTGTGTAATTGATCCTATAGCCACCTTCCTTACCAACTAAAGCTTTCCGCTTGTCTTCTTTATCTTCCGATCCTCGACACCGAAATTTCAAACAATCTAAAAACCTCTCACATCTTGTCGGCTTCTTGATGATTTTCTTCTGATCTGAAAACATATACACGGTACTTTCTCTCTCTCGCTGGGAAGCCATCTTGATTTTTTGAAACGAACTTTAAAAATTCAAACAGATTATCAGCATAGCTTGCGAATCACTGATGTTGGTTTATCGAAGTGATTGCACAGAATGATTTGAATTGGTTGAGACTCGCCGAGCTATTTATGATGAATGTTACTTAATGCTTGGTTCTCAATGATTCTGCCACCTTTGGTCACGCTCAATACCGTCTGGGATGTCAGCCTCGAGCCAATTTCATAAAAATATGACCGATTGTTTTGCGAGGTGTCAAATGACGTCACAATATGTAAGAAACCAAAAATTATCCCAAACCATAAAGCTCGTTAAAACATAAAACGTCATATATTTTCGGTTATTACCATTGAACCAATCGAAGGTGTTCAAACGGCGTGTTATTTCCCGCGGCTAGGAGTGTTTGAGAGTATATTGCCCCGGGCACCTGTTCTGTCAAGTCAATAGTATATGATTGTTCGCTGATGTTCTATTGTTTTATGTGTCATATTATATAAATTATAAGTTTTGGCAAGTAGGAAGTAGATCTGTTTTATGATTTATAAGATATTGAAGATTCGATTTATCACGTGGTGGACGAGATGTGACATTGTCCCTATCGACCTGTATCATCTTCTCTACCAAACCACAGTTCATCAAATACAGACACTTAAAGATGGGTTCCCTTATTTTCATTTATGAATATGAAAATGCTAATACTCATATGAATAGAAAGTAGAGATGTTCTAATTACTTGGAAAAATACCAGTTTGTCTTCATAATTAATTCATAATTAACTAAATTAGAAGAGAATTACCACCAGAATTCCAATGAGTGACCCGATCAAGAAAGGTCAAAAAGTATTTTTTTTGTTTATCCAGACTGTACAAACAGAGACATTTATAATTGGTTAAAACTCTTAATTATATGCAATAAGAACATAATGATATGATTAATAATACATGATAATTCATTAGAAACACCAATAAATCAAAAAGTTTGCTTAATTTGAAACCCCATCTTTAAAGGGATTGTAAAGGGGAATTTATAATTTTTATGTCTATCGTGGACACTGATATCATCAATTTGCACCGTTCCAATTTTCCTACAATTCCACTAAAACTAATGCGTTTTATGACGTCACTAATCCAGATGTCCTGTCATTTAGTGATTTAACAATAATATAATGTCATGTGATAAATGACGCCATAAAAACTATGGTTTTAGTGGAATTGCAGGAACCACAGAAGTCTGATTGATGCTTTTAGTGTCCCCGATATATATACAAAATTTAAAAAACTTCTTTACGATCACGTTAACCTATCCTTGAAATAACCCTCAAAGACTAATATTTTAATTTCATTATACAGTTTTTTCTGCAGATTCCGGTTCTATTTTCATCAGAATATCGTGTTAAGTCGCATGATTGAATTTACATATTATTATAACGACACGATATGACTCCAAAAACCATCAATAAACATGGCAAATAAATGACAAAACTAAGAATCTGATAAAATGCACTTAAAGGGGCATTCCACTTTTTTGTAAAACATTTTCATTATCAAAAACGCCGTAAATTATACCTGAAAATATTTCTAAAGTATGTTATTTATATCTATTTATCTACGTGATCAAACTGAGTTTATTTTAAAAGGAGTCTAATTGTTAATTAAGCAGTTTGACCTAGTTTCAGGGATTGGCTTTATAAGGCTCGTTATATTTAGTTGAAATCTTTATAAGACGTAAGAGATATATTTCTCTACAATTAGGCGTTTATTTTACTTAAATCCGTACATAGTTTTCTAACAGCGTGCAAAAAGCATAACCAACTTTAAAGGGTTATTTTACGTAAAACTTCTGCGTTAAAAAATAAC